TTACTCCTAAGCTGGTGCTCGCACTGTACCAAGCCTTCACACACCTTACAGAGGCCATCTCACCACTGCTCTGAGGCGGGCACAATGATCACCCCTCTATCTGACAGACAAGGAGACAGACTCAGAAGTTACAAAGAGCCAGGAAGTGATGAAGTGGAGACCTTATTGTCTGGAGGTATACACAGTCATAAACCAAAGTTATAACAGAGATAACAACCTGAACTGTGCCATCCTATAACCTCTGAGCTAGTAACTTAGAATTACACATATTCTGCCTGTTACCTTAGTAACTGTACATAATCAAGTTCCAAAAAAAAACACAAAGACTGAAAATCAGTACTTTGCACTTCAACTCACAGAAATGAACCATAACATATCTGGCAAAAAAAATTAAAAACCTCATCATAGGAGACACCTTGGACGTTCCAAATGATGTGTTTATTTTTCAAATTCCAGAAAATTTAACTGGATCCATTTTAGAGCGCCTCTTACAATTACAGGAGGAAGTCTGAGACTGGCAAAGCCAGGGGCTGGTCATCAGAGCTTAGTTTAAAGCCACAGGCTAGGTTTCCGGTGTGCCCTGACCACACCCACAGAACAGACACCAGGAACTCGGTCCCGGAGACATACTCCTCATCAGGCTGCCTCTGAGGGCCTGGAGGTACTTGTACTGCTAACAGGAGTCTTCCACACCGCTAGGCTTAAGCTTTCCACGTCATCTCTTTCACCACAGGGACAGTCCCACCTTTCCTTCCCATACCTTCAGAAATACCCTGGACATCCTAGTCTTCTCAAAAACCCAAACTCTCTGAACTTGTTGACACAAAATGTTTGTGTGTTCCAGCCTTTCCTCCCACCCAGAGAGGCCAGCATCTCTCAGAATTTTCATGTCACGTGGTAACAGCATCCTTTTCCTGGCACTTCATGAAGTCAGCTGATTATATCATACAGCCAAGTTATCTCTGGCTACAAAAGGCCACAGATGCTAAGAAAACAGTAAAAATACCAGCAAAATTAACTTCTTCCAAAGCTATCTTTTATAGGAGAATTTTAGTGAATATTTGTCTGAATATGAACAGGCAGCAAACATCATACCTGCAAATTTGAGAAAACAAAATGCTAATTCCTACAGAACAAAGACAATAGTTTGAGAGAGCAAGGCCTCAGAACTGGGCAGCCACTGAAAGGGATGGACTCTAACACAATGCTTCCAGCCCCTCACAAGTCCCCGCCTGCAATGGCACACCCAGCGAGGGGCCTTCCACCTCCAGGGCCCGGGACAACAGAGAAAGCCAAGGAAAGAGGACGCTGCCTCACGGTGCTGGCCGGCTTCCACCTCTTCCTAGCCAGAGAAGGTAAAGGTCTGAGGCCACATCCCCACCCTGACAGACAGCTTGGCTAAGTGATGCCCCGATGACCAGCGCCCTGTGCTGCTGCAGAGTCCGCTGCAGCTGATGCCTGTGAAGGCACTCGGAGAGGGCTAGAGGGTCCTTGGTTAACATGGTGAACCACCTCATTAAGGCCTATATAAACCCTCATATTGGACAAAGCAAGCTGGCAGACCTATAAATGTCAGTCAGAGAAAAATAAAAATAACTTCACATCGACAAAGTTATAAAAAACTCAATCCAGCCCAGCTGGTGTGGCTCGGTGGTTGAGCTTACCACCTCTGGACCAGGTCACCAGCTGGGTTCCAGGTCGGGGCACCTGCCAGGGATGCAGGCTTGATCCCCAGGAGGGGACGTGCAGAAGGCAGCCCGCCGATGTTTCTCTCACCCGTCTATCTCTATATCCCTCTCCCTTCCTCTCTCTCTCTAAAAACAAACAAACAATCAAAAACATTTTAAACAAAAAAAACTCAGCCTGAAGCATTTCACTGAAACCTCCTCGGAAGCATACAAACTCTACTCAGAGGTGCCCAACAGATGTCTCAGACTCTGCACCCATTGGGTCCCTACGTAAATCCTGAGGGAGAAGGGCTGAGCAGACACTCGTCTCCCACGAACCCTGGTTTATGCACCCGAAGGAGAAAGGACTCACCCCTCCCATTCTTATACTTCGCAGGAGATTCTCAATGTCTGTGTTCTTGGGAGCGTGATCCATCCATTTCCTTCAAGAATATCCAGATACGGACATTTATTTTCCTAGAATTATGACTGGAGATTATGTGACACAAGAAGGGGGAGAGGAGGAGATGTCTAATTCCAAATGCTCACTCGGTATAGGAGCTATGCGAAACGTTCTGTGTACATTTTCACCAAGAGTCACTCCTCAATGCAATGTCCCTCTCAAGCAGCAGCCCCACCGCCCGTCTCAGGTCTTCCAGAAGCCCTCCCGTGCATCCTCTCAGCACCATGCTCAGCATCTGCACAGCACTCAGCACTGCCCTATTTTTAGTGTCTACTTGCTTATGTGCTAAAACAGAAGTTACACAGTTTGTCATGCTTCCTGCAGTATCTCCAACATCCAGAAAGGTGGGCCTGGCACCCAGCAGGCATCAACAACCTCAGCTCATCCGCACCGGAGCCCTGAGGTACTGATGGCGCAGGGAACGGGGCTGAGGAGACAGCCCAGCTGGGAAGTAACACCGGAGGCAGAGCCTACGCTCACTCCTTTTCTGTGCTATATGCAAATTTCCCTGAAGACCCCCGTCTCAAAAATGGTCCATAAAAACGAACTGCGCACACACCACGCTGCGGTCAAGACTATTAAAGAGTGCTGACTGGATGGTGAAGGGTATGTCACTCAGCAAGAGGATGCTGCTCTGTGCAGTGCTGGCTGGACGCGCTCAGCCCCGGGACCAGGGGAAGAACTGTCTAGGTCTAGGAGATGGAGTCAAATGGATGTGGTGATGTCTTATTAAGGAGTGACTCCAAAGAACACTGAAAATGGTATCAGAATAAATGTGGAGTTTGAGAGCACCTTTAGGGGACCCATGAGAACCACATAATCTCGGTCTCTTTGCTTAGTCAGAGATGCTAGGGCCCCAGAAGACAGAGCGCTGGATGGAGCCCTATGCATGAAAGTATCTACCTGTCCCTGGCAGGAGTGGCTGCTGGCTGAACGTTGTCCTGTGCAGTGAGAGGTCCCTGGTCTGACTCAGGTCAGGTCGCATGCTGGGGTTGCTGTGCTGGATCTCCGTAGGGGGCATGCAGGAGGCAGCCGAGTGATGTTTCTCTCTCTCTCCCCTCTCTAAAAATGGGTAAGAACATGTTTAAAAAAAAAAAAAGTTTACCTGTCAAAACACTGCTTCACACCTGGGAGAACCCGGGCCTGCTCCTGCTTGGTTCTGCTCTTGTCCTGTTCCCTGGGCAAGGCTCACTCGGCAGGGACTGGAGTCCCCGGTGCTCAGACTGGGGGTATGGGTGAGAGGGAGATACTGTGTGTATAAATGAGCATTTACTGGGTGTGGCCATGGAAGACCTAAGGATAAACACTGTTTTTAGAGAAGACTGCCCCACCTCTATTTGGCAGTACTCTTTAGGGCTGGCCACTGTAGACTTTGGTAGGGATGGAGGAAGAAGCAGTTAAGGCTCAGCACTGCTTTGTGTTTTGAGAGCAAAGGTTAGAGAGCTCTAATACAAAGCAGCCCCTCGCTAGGAGGAACGGGAGGAAGTACAAAAGCGATGGCATCTGCCTCAGCTCCCCACTTACGTTTCCAGCACTTGCTCAGTGTGGTGGCAAAGACTTAAAGACTGTGCACTGACCAGAACAAGATGACCATGAAGTAAATGGATGTTCTCGAATCAGGACCGACTGTCAGATGAAATCAGCCATAAGGATCAGATTAGGACTCTGATCTCTCCCAATACTGGAAGGGAGCAGTTTCTGACACATGGTTAGTGTCTGTTCAATGACTGATTCAATGATGGACACGGAACAGTCAGTCAATAAGAACTTTGTCGAGGGAGTACGGTCCTAATCCAGTCGTTCTCTGAGGATCCAGCAATATTCTATCACTAACCATGGAGACGGGCAGGTCACGTTCCCTTCTAATGAGTGCTTCTCCCAAAGGATGGAGAGCATGCCACGTCCCTAAGGAAGGTGGCCGGAGAGGGAGAAGGTTCGGGACAAAGCTGACGAAAGGGCCGGAGGCCGCCCAAAGGGGCCGCTCCTGAGCACACCGTCTTCTCCAGCAGAGCGGGTCTGAGGCTCTGGGAGCGCCGTTGGGGACGGGCAGTGGGTGCCTAAAGCCAAACTGTATCGCTACGCTTCCTTCTCCCACTGTACAGATGGAGAAACTAAGACCCCACAAAAAACAGCACACAAAAACTTTCCCCAAGGAAACACCAAGACAAGAAGGAGTCTATCCATTTCCTAATTCCTCCCAAAACTACCAGGCAGGGTTTAGTAAAAGACTCAGACAAGAGATCTGGGTGGCAAGCTGAATACACCTGGGTGTCTCACACTTAAGGGAAGCACAGAATCACAGTCACCAGCTTTGACTATATGCAGCCAAAACCTTGAGTACAAAACTCCAATTTGCAGAGAGCAACGATTAGTGCAACCCACACGAATAAGCCCGCCTCTCCTCCCCGATGGCCCTTGCAGGAAGGCAGCACAGGAGGCAGGACCGAGTGCCTCAGCCGTTTCCCTCGGCGGGCTTCACCCTAGGTCTGGACAGAGCGCTGACCCCGCTGCCTGTGGCGGGCGGCTCCTGGAGACCGCCAGCACTGAGGACCGTTCTCTGTGTCGGACCCACCTCAGCCACCCGCCACGGGGAGGAACGCTCCAGACCTGTCACTCCCCACCTACTGTCTCCGACGTATAGTCCAGCTACACCTGGGCTTCGGGTTTTAAACGCCCTCTGCGCCCTCTAATTCTTCCAGAGGACCTTCCCGGCCTCTGTAAGTTTCTCCTCATAATCGCTTTTTGGTGGCATGTGGTTTGCTGCAAATATGAACTTTTGGCTCCTTTCCAAAGTTTATCACTTGAAACCCTCCCTCCCCATACATAAAAATATATCCTTCCAGCATCATTTGACCGAAGTATAAAGCAACCTGGTTGGCCTCCATGCATCCGATGGCATCTTCCAAGAGTGAAAATTCCACGCAGACATAGCCATAGTCGTAACCTGGGGACAGCATTTAAATACAGACGGGAGTGGTGTTAGTGCCTTGCAAAAACAAAAAACACACTTCAATCCCGTTTCTGAACCCCTTAAACACAAGCCCTCCCAACTGGCCCCCCTCCCCTATACTAGGCAAAGCTGCTACTCCAAACAGAAAAAAGTACTGAAGAAAAGTCTGGATGTTTCTGGATAGTCATTCCAAAGATGACTTTTCCTATAACCAAGATGTCTGTGCTCCATAGCACTGAAGCTCCAGAGAGGGGCATCCGACAGAAAGGGGACCCAAACATTTAACCACAGGCTGAATCTTCTGGGGGAAAGTCAACAAGAATAGGAAAGTATCTGAGGGGGAAAAAAGCATCCCAAGAGAGAAAGTAGAAGCAATTATCCCAAAGCTATGCTAATAGTCACCACTTTTCAAGCAGAAACCGCCTTCAAAGACAGAAGTGCTGACAGACTGACCAACTATCTGTCTGGACACCACGGGGCTTCTGTTGGCGGGGCAGACCATTTCAGGCCTCCTCTTTTTCTCTCGTTTCACCTCAAGTCATAAACCAGCTAAATCTTTACAAAAGGAAGAAGTGTAAATGCATAAATAAGTACAAAGAGCTGGGTCCAAAATCGTGCTTATGCACAAAGATGTGCGGTGGGCAGGCTAGGGAGAGACAGCTGTGGTTAGCAATCAATACACATGAAGGACTGTACGTACCATTAGTTATAACACTCCCTTCACCTTGCTCCTGATCAAGTGCCATCTGCGGCTCTCGTGACCCATGAGTCCGCATTCATGGGATTTACAGGCTGCTGACCTCTAACCCCAACCAGCCTGGGACTCCCCGCGATGCCAGCCTCTGACCATACAAACGCACTGTCAGTGCTCCACAGGAGCGCCCACGCTCCCTCCCCTGCCTCCCAGGACAGCCAGGCTCACCGTCAGGAGGGCACTGGACAAACGAGCAGCAAGAAAAGATACGGTTTGTTCCGATGAGAGATACAACTCAGGGAAAGAAAAACAACACAAAACCCAGGGCAGTTTTGAGTACAAAGTATATATAATAGGATATTGGTTTTTTTTTGTTGTTTTGTTTTTTTTATAATAGGATATTGTTATTGATTCAAGACATCAAGGGCCAGGGTGGTCAATCAGGGAAAAAGGAGACATATATAATTCTTTAAACAAAACAAACGAACAAAAAAGACATCAACAGCCAAAAATAAAATCAAATCATATTAAATTCATTAAAATAAAGAAAACAGACCTACGGTTTTAAAAAATATAACTTAAAAAATAGACCAAAGTTGGTAAAATGGGTTGGATTCCTTGTCATGTGGAATGAATATCCTGAAATGTTTTATATAGTAACTTAAGATTTGTTGAATACTCCAGGTTCATTAAGAAAAGTTACGACGGTATAAGTTGATTCTTGCTTTGAATTTTAGGAAATGACCAGGAAGAATAAGAGAAAGCTGCTAGAACCTCAGATTTTCTACCAGATTTCAAAGTTTTGACCATTACTCCTACAACCTCCACTTAAACTTACCACAAAATCAGCCTCCTCTGATCAGTAACTATTGGAAGAAATTAAACTACTTTAGAGAAAAGGTGTGAGTGTATCTGTAAATATCCTATTAGCAAAGGAAATTGTTTTGTTAATTTCTTTCAATGGAATGGATTCTCTTGATCAAACTCAGTGCACATCTCATACATAAAACGTTCTGCATGTGTAAAGGGCTGAATGTTGTTGGGAAACATTTTAGAATAGCAGGAGCAACTAAGGTACTGTTTATCACCAAACTAGAGGCCCAGTGCATGGATTCGGGGTCCTTGAGGGGTCTCAGATTGCAAGAGGGCACAGGCCAGGCCGAGGGACCCCATGGGTGCATGATCGGGGTCAGGGAGGGCTCCAGAGCATACCTGGTCCACCTCGCCCAGTCCCCATCCACTGGACCTCAGCAGCAAGCTAACCTACCGGTTGGGTGCATCTGCCCCTTGGTGGTCAGTGCACATCACAGCGACTGGTCGAACGGTGAGTCAGACACTTAATATTAGGCATTTATTATATAGGATATCTACTGAAAAAACTCAAATGCATGTTTACAGTCAGAAAGGGATAAGGGATAGCCAAGGAACGAGCAGAGGTACCCTCAAGTATGTGATGGCTGCTACATAACACACCAAGAAAGAGTGCAGGAGCGTGGGAAGCAACTCACAGCTGCCGAAATGAAGCAGGAACTAACACCAAACTTGCAAAGCCTTCAGCTTCCTTCCTATGCTTATAGAAGTAAATACTGTGGCCCAAAGGAGCATATAGAACCTGTAGATAGAATGACAGAGAGACAAGGAGAGAGAGAGAGAGAGAGAGAGAGAGAGAGAGAGAGAGAGAGAGAGAGAGAGGGAGGGAGGGAGGGAGGGAGGGAGGGAGGGAGGGAGAGAGAGAGGGAGGGAGGGAGGGAGGGAGAGAGAGAGAGAGATATGGAGGGAGGACACATTCATGACAACATCCATACTTCACGAAAGAACAGACTTTGACAGTAAGTCACTGGGAAGAAAAAGATATGGTCCACAGGAGACATGAAGAGCATCTGATAGCATCTTTATCCATCAACCCTGCAATATGGTATGCTAACAATGTACTTTAGATTTATGTTAATTCACAAGCTCAACGCTCTGCTCCATTTCTCCTGCACACAGCTTTAGCTATCAAACAAGAATAGAAGTTTAAAGTTTAATTATACTGCCTAAAACTTAAAAAATAATAAGTTTAAAAAGTATACAATCTTGACCCTAGGCATTTTTGTTGTTGAGGATACCACCAAGGCAATTTTCCCGCTGATTTTTAGACAGAGTGGACGGAAGGGGAGAACACTGATGTGAGACACATTGATTGGTTGCCTCCCGCACGCACCGAGACCAGGGCCTTGGATTGAGCCTGCAACCGAGGTATGTGCCCTTGACCAGAATCGAACATGGGACCCTTCAGTCCACGGCCGATGCTCTATCCACTGAGCCAAGCCGGCCAGGGCGATCCCAGGCATTTTGTGTGTCCAACTCATGGTTGTAGCCTAAGGATTTTCAGTTTTAACAAAGCAATGATGACACCAAGTTACATTTACTTTACAAACATTAACTGCGTCCTCACAGACTACCTACCCTAGGAGGCAAATGCCACCAACCTCATTTACCAATGGGAAGCAGGCAAAGAAGAACAATTTGCTTAAATTCACCCAGACTTCAAACCCAGGCAGCCCAGATTCAAACTGATGCTATAAACCGCACACTGCAGGGCCTCTCACCCTTTGACACTGATAGAAGTAATCTGAATCCAAACGCTCCATCGCCCATTTACAGAAAGGGTCCCACATGCTCGAGCACAGGTAAGACCGTGTCTATAGTTAAAAAACACTGAATCTGTAGCACAACAAATTATTCTTACTGTAAAATGTCAGTGGCAGAACCATTGGGAGTGGGCTTGAGTATGCAAATTAGAAAGCAATCATTCACAGGTTGATGTACACTGCCTATCAAAGTTCTCCTGAAAAGACAAAACCCGAAGCCTTATTATAGAGATGGCTATAAAAAGTACAGCCCTAGCCAGTTTGGGTCAGTGGATAGAGCATCAGCCCATGGACTGGAGGGTCCCAGGTTCGATTCTGGTCTAGGGTACATACCTCGGTTGCAGGCTCAATCAGAAGCTCTGGTTGGGGCACGTGCAATCAATGTGTCTCTCTCACATCGATGTTCCTCCCCCTCCCGTCCACTCTCTCTCAAATCAATGGAATAACACCCTCAGGGGAGGATTAAAAAACAAAACAAAACAACAAAAATTTCAATATGGTAAAATACTTGACATAGGATACTTAATATATTTTAAAAGCTTTAAAAATGACAGCTATATAAAATAAGCAAAGGAAAAAGGACTAGAAGAGAAAGAAGTCATATCTAACTCGGAGGACAGAGACAGAAGTCAGCCCACAAGACGAAACCATGCCTTGTCAAAATCATACTCCAATGGCCCCAGGCGGAGAACAGACCACCTCTCACATGGGGTAGGTCCACCGTGCCCGGCCTTCCTCCCGCGCTGCGACAGACTGCTCCATCGGGTGACACCAGATGAAGAGGCTGGCTTGCATATTTAAGGGCCATGATGTGTGAAAAATATGTGGCTTGAAATAGCAGCAGCACAGCCAGCACCGTGAATGCTCACACTCAGAGAACTGGGAAACAGACCATCCGAAGCCCAGCCAAGCCACAGCCCGCCTCCCGTGCTACTTCCCGGGAGGGAAAGGGAGTGAAGGATGGAGGAGGGGTGAGCAGGCACAGGTGAAGACACAGGAATCTAAAAATGACATAGGCAACACAACTGTACACAAAAGTAATTACAGTGGCTGGACTGTTACACTGAGATAATTAAGATTTTATAATCCACAGGAAGAGTTTTAGTAGACACAGAAGGTATTCATTCCACCCAGAGACCTAAACATTCCACGTGGGACCATCAAGATGATAACTAAAAAAATTAAAGAAAAGATGGCAAAATCCATGTTCATGGTCCCACAGACAGATTTGTTCTTATCTAGAGGAACAAAAGGTCTCTTTCATTTCCTTTTCCTCCCTCCATCATCTGCTGGGTTGATGGGTCTTAGTGCTTATTTCCATGACTATTAAAAAAGCACATCTTGGGGGGGGCAATGTTAAAATATGTACACAGATAATAATTTAATTTAAAAAAAAAAAAAATATATATATATATTTTTTTAAAAAAAGCACATCTTACTCCATTTTCTAACCTGAAACCATCAATTTCTCATAGAAATGCAAATGTTTTTTGTTGTTTTTTTGTTGTTTTTTTACAGCTGAGAATGAGAACAAGGCACAGGGCGAACACCTATAAAGGTAAAATTCAACTCGTCTCTTCATTAACCATGTAGTTCCCAAATAGAGTATCTGAGAAAATCTAACCAGGTGCTTCAGGGGGGGAACAAGGTACAGAAAACAAAGCCCT